TGGCTGGAGTACTCGTAACAACTCTATTATTTTATCATTTTTAGCGGCTGCCTGGTTGAGTCTACTATGTACCTGTGGGGATTGAAAAAGCATAACTCTTCTATTGCATACAATTGTTTAAATAACACGGTAGGCGAAAGAAGACGCCTTCTTGTAATGTCTATCGTGCTGTGTCGGGGAATATCTTTAACATTTCTATTGTAACAGAGATAAATAATTTTAGCTAAACAGTAGTTTTCTAACTTCATTTAAACTCAACAGGAAGGTATGTATACGACTTTGGTTCTTAAAACTTGTGATGGAGTAACTGTTTATGTGCAGACACATATGTCCTTAACGACAATTAAAGTACTTGCTATAACGACAAAAGGCTTTAAGAATCACCTTTTTGTTACGTACAATAGTACACGTACCAATAAAACAGTTACATAACTAGACAGATATGTAGGTTGCAGCGGAATCGTACTTAATGCCAACAATATCACCATGTGATAAAAGCATGTATTCGAATCCACAGTTTCTCAACCTCCACACAAAAGCTTTGAATCACGCACCAAGATACAAAGAGGTTGATAGCAAGAGAGCAATCAACACCAACAGTATATTATAGCACACATATGATCAACCAGTCGTAGACACCCATAGAATTTTGACAGACAAGTGTGCATGGTTGCTGAATATAGTGTTGAGTTTCAGTCTACTTCAAGTATTGTCTGCAATTACCCTTACACTGGTATATTGATGTATACTGGTAATTACATGTATAAATTGTACTACACGGTAAATTGTAGACATCTTTAGCGTCAAGATGTCATTTAACATGTAATAATACTACAGGAACTTCATAAAAACAGATGTCCAACCCTTACTAACACTTACTCAAAGGGAAATGGCTTGTGTATACGTAATGGTTGAATTATGAACGTGTTGGAGGCATCCGGCGTAGTTCTCTTTCCAGTATGAAACTAATATTCCATTCTTCCGGAAATAACAAAGACCGTTCTTCAGATTAAGGGATAGATCATTGTATCTTGTCGGGAGAGTTGTAGGTTCTTATATTATCCCATTATCCGGTATCCCATTTTAGGATTTAATGCATTCATTGCTCGATGTCAGTAGCTCCCACTAATATATTGTCGACATAACTCAAAGTTTCCGCTACTTATTATCGATAATCGCAAACAAATACAATCAGCGTTCCCTAACAATGTTCCGAGCACGTCATGCATGATTGTATGAGAGTGTCGACATGTAGTCATATCGCAGCTTCCCACCGACTCACAGGGGATCCCACAGGTCGCAATAATGACTTCGATGTTAATAATTGTCTGATTTATGATCTCAATTTCCATGTATTAGGAAGATGAGAGACGGAATGAAAAGTTCATGCCTCACTTGATTAATCCCTGCAGAACAGAAGCGCCGTGCTACAGACAAGTGAGTGCGGATATGTGACAAGTGTCGTAACTCCCTGTGTGTGATAAATGTTAGCAATGTAATTATCATCATCATTGTAAGCACATGCGGCAATTTGTCATTCAATGTTTATGCGATAATATTTTAATTATGGCATATATATGTTCACACAGCTGAAACGTTTTGAACGCGATAACAAAATATTTTGTGTAAATAGGTCGCTCATGATTGTTTCATTTTGATAGAAATTGATATTATCTCCGAAGGATGGACAATGCCGTGGACAGTTCTTCAATCTCTATTGTATTTCCATAGAAAGTAGTCATTTGTCAACACTGTTTCTGACGACGTTTTGACGGAAAACATTTAAGAATGACACACTCATACTGAAATACAGAAACCGGACTTATCGAGTGAAATGTCATGTAACTGATTATAGAAATAGAGATTCATTATTTCCTCCAGATGTCATTCCGAAGATTACAATGAAGATGTATTCAATTACACGCGGTTAACACAATACAAAAAGGCATAACATATTTACAAATACACACAGTTTACCAAATTCACATACCTAAACGAAGACAGATATTCACTAAAAGATATATATCAAAAGATGCCTTAGTTTGTACAGAGACGAGGCGAATTGTAGTATGATAGTTTCCCAGGTGTGTTCATCAAGATTATAAGTAGATTTTCTTTCAACCCCAAATAAGAATGATAACATATCTGTTTCGTCTTGCATTTACAAATCAAGATATTTTTGAACGTCTTGTTAGTCAATGAGAGAAGAGAAAAACGCATTTCTTTCTGATTTAAGGGCTTCACAGTGTAAAATAATGTGGCTGTCATAGTCGAAAGCATTGCCTATAACAGAGCATGCACTCTTTCGAAAGTTTACTGCGTGATGAGACGTTCACACCAGGTTGTAAAGCAGGTCGATATTCCAGGTACAGAAAAGCTGATAGCCAAAGTACATGGTATGTTTATTTTGTATGAATTCTCTTATAACGGGACATGTTTACGTTATTTGATACATTTGTGAGCCATCATTGTTCTTCGTATTTGCATATAATTTCATTAACAAGAATTCTCCATTTCAATTGTGGGGGGAAAGTACCGTACTGAGTATATGTACGAAGGTAGGTACCCAGTTGGTATTTATCAAGTGTTGATTTAAGTTCTAAACAGCTTGTCTTTGAATTGACAGGGCTTGCAATGGCAAAGTTATTGCAGTTGCATAATCGACCAATAAATAAAAGTTTGCATTTATCAATATATGCAGTAATTGTCAAAACCTCCAAATTCGCAATAGTAGATTCTGAGGGAGATCTTCTATCAAGACCCTGTACAATGCGTGTACAATATCTTTGCGCGCCTTCCAACAGAACGGCATGTGCACCCTTGATGTCATGGAGTAATTCACATCCATCAAGGCTGGTTTTGAGTATCATTCTGAGCCATATTTTCACGCTTGAAATTGGATGAAGATCATAACTATTTAATCCGTAACAAGGGGTGTGCATATTATTCCTCCAGATGTATATAAACATACATACAAACAGACATGTACTAACCGTGCAGATAAATCGAATATAATACCTAAGCGAGTTTCAAGACAACGTGATGCTTTTTTATCACCCTCAACGTTGAAACCACATAATGTTCACCTTCTTAATTAGATCCCACCTGTTTGATTATACCAGCTTGTTCCAGTCCGTCCTCGAGTAAAGCCACGTTTTGCTTGTGTATATAATTAATATAATGTGTGTTAAACGTGAATGGAGTAGGGCAACGCAGTTGAGTGCAGCATTGAACCCATTGATGTGACCGTGTGATCCACAAACACACATGAAGGAAGTGATCAGTCAGTGAGGACTGCATATAATCAGGTGTCTACGTTTGTCGTCTAGGCCTCATGAGAAATGGGGCCGTCGTTTCTGATAAAGCTTAACGTGCTTACAGTGAAGAATGAACTCGATTTGGAAGCTCCATCTTGATGTCGCCTCAGATTCATTCATGGCTGCTTGTAAGTGGTAGCCATCAGCATCATTCAGACACTTACCACTCCATCACCTTGTATTTTATGTCAGTCACAGATGCATGTGGCTCTAACCACGGTTATTGTTTTAGGTAAACATATGCAGTTGTCTAAGCAGTAACTACTCGTATAACGTTATTTTACGCTGGTGACATTCCACATGTCAATCTGAGTTCTGCACACATGTAGGAGTTACTAGGATAAGTTTCTTAAGAATACTGGACCGTCTCCGTGGTCAGGTGGTAGAACGTCTGCCCGGAGAGAGGTAGCTCGGGGGTTCGATCCCCCGCAGCGTACTTTTTGTCACCCTGCCTGGCGCACGGCATTTAGGGTCTAAAACAAGGACTGGTCGGCTCGGAGTCGGTACATTGTGTCTTAGTTGGGTATTCATGTTAAACTGTGGCATGATATCTCAGTGGGCTAGCACTATAAAAATATTTAATTAGTCAAGACCAGTACACGTGCTTGCACGTCACTATATAAGTGCAATAATCGACGTTAAACCTCAAGAGAACATGGCAAGTCTAAGTATGTGAGACCGTGTTGTACTGTAGTTTGTCATTTCGCTGTGGGGTTTGATGCCCCGGAACGGTGGTGAATATTTGTGATTAATATGTTTGCTTGCCGTACCAAGATCCGAGTGCGATTCTTTGCATTTCTACAATATGTAAAAATACTCTTTCCATCCCTAGTCTATTTCCAACAAGAATCTCTCACAAAGCGAGGTGAAAAACCAAACTCATTGAATTCACTCATTTCCGAATTACGCGATAACGGATATATAATTTGGCAACTGTTCGCTTTCTAATGATCAATCAGCTGAGTAGTCTGTACAATGGGACCAGGCAATATTTGCAGCAGAATGGTGTAGACCACATCACTAGAAACCGACAAATAACAGGTTAACCCTGACGCTGAAATTGGTATACAAATTATCTTAAAACGTATAAGCATGTGTAACATGCAGACTCCATGTGTGACACAAAAGGAAGAATATTGAAAAAAGTGGTAATTCCATATTACATGACATTGATGTGACAATAGACGTATCATAATGGTGTGCTTTGTTGCAACATCACAGAGGAGACAATTATTGAAAACAGATTCAATCAATGGGTAATAGCGTGAACAATGTACAGTAAGAGCTGCTTCACACGTATGTTATTATCTAGTAGTTATACACTCATGATACGAGGACATGAGTGGCAACTGTATGTGCACAGTTACATCCCTTAGGCATGGTAGAAATATATGATGTTGGTTCGAATCCCAGATGCACTTTATTATGTGTCATTACTATATACCCATGCTCTTGGTTTCAACCTATCATCGTTGCTTCTAGTCCCGAATTATGTTTCCAGGTTTGTCAGCATCATGCCCTTGCTCGTTGGTTTCACCAAAATAAAACACGTTTAAGACCCACATCAATTCTGAATTTCTCCCAACATCAATTGACATACCATGTTATAACCGAAATACTTTCACAACTGTGTTACATTAAACTCGGTCATGATCACTCGCTCATTATATTGTCCCCCCACAGCCAGAAGACAGCGGGATGATGTGCACGTGTCGGGCCTGGCTCGTGATGCTTCCAGCTCTACTCACAACTCTGCCTCGAGCCACATCGCAAGTCCACAATGGCCTGAGTAGGTGAGTGGACTTCTCGCACCTACATCGTCTGGCGAAGCTACCACAGATAACATATACTCTAATGATAATAAGATCGTCCTAGTATAAAACTCGAAACTAGATAACAGGCACACTATTTGGTTTGTTGTACCTAACAGTAAATTGTGGTTTTATCATAAATTATGTACGTACATGCGTCTAATGGTAATACATTAATAGTGGACCTAATAAACAACTATGTATTGTCATTATGACTGGTGTCATTTAGGAAGATACGTTTGTTGACAAACAAACATTAATTGTGCAATCCATATACATGTACTTCACTATTGTAGACGTGAACTGCTTGACCAGATATTGAAAAAATCAACTTATGATCCAAGAATTCCTCCTGATTACGAAAGAGGTAAATATTATGAAATATAGCTCTTGTATAATAAAAAAATAACAATAGAGAAACGTCATGTTTTTAATTATCGTTATGCTGACACCATCCCACTTAATGATGTGTGGATGTTATCGGGCAGGGAGTTATTTATGTAACCCTCTGGCTGATGGAGCTCTACAGGCAAACAGGATGTTTACATTTGAAGTAGGAAGAAAATGTTTCGCTTTAAAGTAATTTTGAAAATGTCATAAAAAACATTGACAAGTTAATCCTTTGGGTCACCTGGGATGTGAAGCAGTTTTTTGTCCAGACTCCTATTTAGGGTATTTTGACTACCTCTTGGTGCAATGGATTTTGAGTTTGATGTCAGAATTCCCTCCAAGGGTAATTTGTGTCTTCAACAGTGCACGGCACGTGTGTGGTTCACTTTTTTGGGACTAACTCAATGTCTTGCATTTCAGATGAGCCCACGAATGTTACTCTCCAGATCCACATACTCAGCTTTGACTCCATCAATGAAGGGTCGATGGTTAGCGCACATTTCGTTGTCGATTACAATCTTACACACCAAACTACAATCGATCTGTCTCATTTTCTCAGGTCACATACTGCAAGCCATGACTGTGGTTATTCTTCAAATTGTCAGATAGTTCAGTTTCTTTAACTCTTTAGACAGACAAGGCAATACTTTTCAATTACCAATTATAGAAAATGGCACAGTACGACATAGATAATTGTCTTGTGTCAGACTTCATATGTCACAAGAGTAATTATGCTATCGGGAATACAGCAAAAACATTAATTGGTGGCTTTATAAAGCAGCCGTACACTTAACGAGCCTCTGAGTATTAGAGCTAGAGGAATGGATGAACGCTAATTATTGATTATGTGGAATGGATGTATGGGATTGTTCAACATTTTATGTTAGAAACTTGATGTTAGTAACTGTACATGTACGCCAGGCTTAAGGTAGGAGCAGGTTCTTTTGATGTGGTGGGAGGCTGACTGGTGATGTATGTGGTGGGAGGCTGAGTGGTGAAGTATGTGGTGGGAGGCTAAGTGGTGATGCATGTGGTGGGAGGCTGAGTGGTGATGTTTGTGGTGTGAGGCTGAGTGGTGATGTATGTGATGGGAGGGAGGCTGAGTGATGATGTATGTGGTGGGAGGCTGAGTGGTGATGTATGTGGTGTGAGGCTGAGTGATGATGTATGTGGTGGGAGCCTGAGTGGTGATGTATGTGGTGGGAGGCTGAGTGGTGATATATGTGGTGGGAGGCTGAGTGATGATGTATGTGGTGGGAGGCTGAGTGATGATGTATGTGGTGGGAGGCTGAGTGGTGATGTATGTGGTGGGAGGCTGAGTGATGATATATGTGGTGGGAGGCTGAGTGATGATGTATGTGGTGGGAGGCTAAGTGGTGATGTATGTGGTGGGAGGCTGAGTGATGATGTTTGTGGTGTGAGGCTGAGTGGTGATGTATGTGTCGGGAGGGAGGCTGAGTGATGATGTATGTGGTGGGAGGCTGAGTGGTGATGTATGTGGTGTAAGGCTGAGTGATGATGTATGTGGTGGGAGGCTGAGTGATGATGTATGTGGTGGGAGGGAGGCTGAGTGATGATGTAAGTGGTGGGAGGCTGAGTGATGGTGTATGTGGTGGGAGGCTGAGTGGTGATGTATGTGGTGGGCCCTTAGTGATGATGTATGTAGTGGGAGGCTGAGTGATGATGTATGTGGTGGGAGGCTAAGTGGTGATGTATGTGGTGGGAGGCTAAGTGGTGATGTATGTGGTGGGAGGCTGAGTGATGGTGTATGTGGTGGGAGGTTAAGTGGTGATGTATGTGGTGGGAGGCTAAGTGGTGATGTATGTGGTGGGAGGCTGAGTGATGGTGTATGTGGTGGGAGGCTGAGTGGTGATGTATGTGGTGGGCCCTTAGTGATGATGTATGTAGTGTGAGGCTGAGTGATGATGTATGTGGTGTAAGGCCGAGTGATGATGTATGTGGTGGGAGGCTGAGAGATGATGTATGTGGTGGGAGGCTGAGTGGTGATGTATGTGGTAGGAGGCTGAGTGATGATGTATGTGGTGGGAAGCTGAGTGATGACGTATGTGGTGGGAGGCTAAGTGGTGATATATGTGGTGGGAGGCTAAGTGGTGATATATGTGGTGGGAGGCTAAGTCGTGATGCATGTGGTGGGAGGCTGAGTGGTGATGTATGTGGTGTGAGGCTGAGTGATGATGTATGTGGTGGGAGGCTGAGTGGTGATGTATGTGGTGGGAGGCTAAGTGGTGATATATGTGGTGGGAGGCTGACAGGGGATGTATGTGGTGGGAGGCTGAGTGATGATGTATGTGGTGGGACGGGCTGAGTGATGATGTATGTGGTGGGAGGCTGAGTGGTGATGTATGTGGTGGGAGGCTAAGTGGTGATATATGTGGTGGGAGGCTCAGTGATGATGTATGTGGTGGGAGGCTGAGTGATGATGTATGTGGTGGGAGGCTGAGTGGTGATGTATGTGGTGGGAGGCTGAGTGATGATATATGTGGTGGGAGGCTGAGTGATGATGTATGTGGTGGGAGGCTAAGTGGTGATGTATGTGGTGGGAGGCTGAGTGATGATGTTTCTGGTGTGAGGCTGAGTGGTGATGTATGTGTCGGGAGGGAGGCTGAGTGATGATGTATGTGGTGGGAGGCTGAGTGGTGATGTATGTGGTGTAAGGCTGAGTGATGATGTATGTGGTGGGAGGCTGAGTGATGATGTATGTGGTGGGAGGGAGGCTGAGTGATGATGTATGTGGTGGGAGGCTGAGTGATGGTGTATGTGGTGGGAGGCTGAGTGGTGATGTATGTGGTGGGCCCTTAGTGATGATGTATGTAGTGGGAGGCTGAGTGATGATGTATGTGGTGGGAGGCTAAGTGGTGATGTATGTGGTGTAAGGCTGAGTGGTGATGTATGTGGTCGGACCTGAGTGATGATGTATGTGGTGGGAGGCTGAGTGGTGATGTATGTGGTGTGAGGCTGAGTGATGATGTATGTGGTCGGAGGGAGACTGAGTGATGATGTATGTGGTGGGAGGCTGAGTGGTGATGTATGTGGTGTAAGGCCGAGTGATGATGTATGTGGTGGGAGGCTGAGTGGTGATGTATGTATTGGGAGGCTGAGTGATGATGTATGTGGTGGGAGGCTAAGTGGTGATGTATGTGGTGGGAGGCTGACTGGTGATATATGTGGTGGGTGGCTGAGTGATGATGTATGTGGTGGGAGGCTGAGTGACGATGTATGTGGTGGGAGGCTGAGTGGTGATGTATGTGGTGGGAGGCTAAGTGGTGATATATGTGGTGGGAGGCTCAGTGATGATGTATGTGGTGGGAGGCTGAGTGACGATGTATGTGGTGGGAGGCTGAGTGGTGATGTATGTGGTGGGAGGCTGAGTGGTGATGTATGTGGTGGGAGGCTAAGTGGTGATATATGTGGTGGGAGGCTCAGTGATGATGTATGTGGTGGGAGGCTGAGTGACGATGTATGTGGTGGGAGGCTGAGTGGTGATGTATGTGGTGGGAGGCTGAGTGATGATATATGTGGTGGGAGGCTGAGTGATGATGTATGTGGTGGGAGGCTAAGTGGTGATGTATGTGGTGGGAGGCTGAGTGATGATGTTTGTGGTGTGAGGCTGAGTGGTGATGTATGTGTCGGGAGGGAGGCTGAGTGATGATGTATGTGGTGGGAGGCTGAGTGGTGATGTATGTGGTGTAAGGCTGAGTGATGATGTATGTGGTGGGAGGCTGAGTGGTGATGTATGTGGTGGGCCCTTAGTGATGATGTATGTGGTGGGAGGCTGAGTGGTGATATATGTGGTGGGAGGCTGAGTGATGATGTATGTGGTGGGAGGCTAAGTGGTGATGTATGTGGTGGGAGGCTGAGTGATGATGTTTGTGGTGTGAGGCTGAGTGGTGATGTATGTGTCGGGAGGGAGGCTGAGTGATGATGTATGTGGTGGGAGGCTAAGTGGTGATGTATGTGGTGGGCCCTTAGTGATGATGTATGTGGTGGCAGGCTGAGTGGTGATGTATGTGGTGGGCCCTTAGTGATGATGTATGTGGTGGGAGGCTGAGTGGTGATGTATGTGTCGGGAGGGAGGCTGAGTGATGATATATGTGGTGGGAGGCTGAGTGGTGATGTATGTGGTGGGCCCTTAGTGATGATGTATGTGGTGGGAGGCTGAGTGGTGATGTATGTGGTGGGAGGCTGAGTGGTGATATATGTGGTGGGCCCTTAGTGATGATGTATGTGGTGGGAGCCTAAGTGGTGATGTATGTGGTGTAAGGCTGAGTGGTGATGTATGTGGTGGGACCTGAGTGATGATGTATGTGGTGGGAGGCTGAGTGGTGATGTATGTGGTGTGAGGCTGAGTGATGATGTATGTGGTCGGAGGGAGACTGAGTGATGATGTATGTGGTGGGAGGCTGAGTGGTGATGTATGTGGTGTAAGGCCGAGTGATGATGTATGTGGTGGGAGGCTGAGTGGTGATGTATGTATTGGGAGGCTGAGTGATGATGTATGTGGTGGGAGGCTGAGTGGTGATGTATGTGGTGTAAGGCTGAGTGGTGATGTTTGTGGTGTGAGGCTGAGTGATGATGTATGTGGTGGGAGGCTGAGTGGTGATGTATGTGGTGTAAGGCTGAGTGATGATGTATGTGGTGGGAGGCTGAGTGGTGATGTATGTGGTGGGCCCTTAGTGATGATGTATGTAGTGGGAGGCTGAGTGATGATGTATGTGGTGGGAGCCTAAGTGGTGATGTATGTGGTGTAAGGCTGAGTGGTGATGTATGTGGTGGGAGGCTGAGTGATGATGTATGTGGTGTGAGGCTGAGTGATGATGTATGTGGTCGGAGGGAGACTGAGTGATGATGTATGTGGTGGGAGGCTGAGTGGTGATGTATGTGGTGGGACCTGAGTGATGATGTATGTGGTGGGAGGCTGAGTGGTGATGTATGTGGTGTGAGGCTGAGTGATGATGTATGTGGTCGGAGGGAGACTGAGTGATGATGTATGTGGTGGGAGGCTGAGTGGTGATGTATGTGGTGGGAGGCCGAGTGATGATGTATGTGGTGGGAGGCTGAGTGGTGATGTATGTATTGGGAGGCTGAGTGATGATGTATGTGGTGGGAGGCTGAGTGGTGATGTATGTGGTGTAAGGCTGAGTGGTGATGTTTGTGGTGTGAGGCTGAGTGATGATGTATGTGGTGGGAGGCTGAGTGGTGATGTATGTGGTGGGAGGCTGAGTGATTATGTATGTGGTGGGAGACTGAGTGATGATGTATGTGGTGGGAGGCTGAGTGATGATGTATGTGGTGGGAGGGAGGCTGAGTGATGATGTATGTGGTGGGAGGCTGACAGGGGATGTATGTGGTGGGAGGCTGAGTGATGATGTATGTGGTGGGAGGGAGGCTGAGTGATGATGTATGTGGTGGGAGGCTGAGTGATGATGTATGTGGTGGGAGGCTGAGTGATGATGTATGTGGTGGGATGCTGAGTGATGATGTATGTGGTGGGAGGGAGGCTGAGTGATGATGTATGTGGTGGGAGGGAGGCTGAGTGATGATGTATGTGGTGGGAGGCTGACTGGTGATGTATGTGGTGGGAGGCTGAGTGGTGATGTATGTGGTTGGTGGGAGGCTGAGTGATGATGTAGGTGGTGGGAGGCTGAGTGATGATGTATGTGGAGGGAGGCTGAGTGATGATGTATGTGGTGGGAGGCTGAGTGGTGATGTATGTGGTTGGTGGGAGGCTGAGTGATGATGTAGGTGGTGGGAGGCTGAGTGTTGATGTATGTGGTGGGAGGCTGAGTGATGATGTATGTGGTGGGAGGCTAAGTGGTGATGTATGTGGTGGGAGGCTGAGTGGTGATGTATGTGGTGGGAGGCTAAGTGGTGATGTATGTGGTGGGAGGGAGGCTGAGTGATGATGTATGTGGTGGGAGGCTGAATAGAGAGATGAGCAGCTAATATCCTAAGTGTTGCGTATTAATTTGATTATAGCATCTGCTGAAGTAAAAATGCATTCATGTAAAAAATATATATCTTAACTTGAATACAAATATATCAAGTTTTACAGAATCTCGCTCGATGCTTTGATTTTTCCAAAATGCATGTAATTATAACGTTATCCATCATGACTATATCACTCATTATTGACAATCTTCTTTTAAATGCGTGTTCCATATCTAGGATTATTCCATCAACATATATCTACGGGAAAAATGGACCGACAGTCGCCTTGCCTTCATGAACTACACAAAATCTGATTGGCTCGAACTGGATACCCGGATGTTAGATCATGTTTGGGTCCCAGATGTATATTTCCAAAATGAAAAGAAGGCTGCTTTCCATAATGTTACAGTTCCCAACAGGCTCATACATCTGTACAGGAACGGCACAGTTAATTACAGTCTAAGGTAAGCTTGGCGGATGTGCGTGCTCTGATGTATTGATCCCCCTGGATGCACGACATAGAGCCATGTGACACACAAAGTCACAAATATTTCTTTTCTTAATTACAAAAGAAGAACGGCATTTTAAAATTTATTGATCTTTAGGAATGTCGCGGTTAAAAAACTGCAATACACTCACACATAGTGAACCAAATATGCGAAAGAAGAAAGGAACAATAAGAATGTTTTGATTCCACAGGAATAACGTCATCACAATGTTGAAGGACAGTTCACAGTGACAATGGTAGTGAACGTCATCACAATGTTAGAGGGCAGTTCACAGTGACAATGGTAGTGAACGTCACCACAATGTTAGAGGACAGTTCACAGTGACAATAGTAGTGAACGTCATCACAATGTTGGAGGACAATTCACAGTGACAATGGTGGGGAACGTCATCACAATGTTGGAGGACAGTTCACAGTGACAATAGTAGTGAACGTCATCACAATGTTGGAGGACAATTCACAGTGACAACGGCGGTGAACGTCATTACAATGTTGGAGGACAGTTCACAGTGACAATGGTGGGGAACGTCACCATTAGGGTGACACTCACCGGCGTGAGTATTATGCGGACAGGCTTTGGATCAATGAGGTCGAAAATGTACTTGGAGCCAAAATCCAATGAATCCTTGCAGCGAAAGCTCGTCACGGCATATTGCATCACTTTAGACTCCTGAGTCACTGGTTGCCTCTGACAACCTGAAGATAACCAAGGGGGTTTCTATGGTGAACGATATAAATTAAAAGAAGCTTCTTCAGAAAATGCGTGCATGTGTTTTGTATATAAGTGTTAAAACTCGCGATAGTTTGGAAAGTAGCCTCCGTCGTCTGGTATCCATTGTGAATGTGAGTTTAGACGTTGTAGTTGGAAATGTATGTCTAATTTAGATGTAATCTGTATGTAAACAATTAATCATGAATAGATTGATCTACTAAATAACACATGAGTTAGCAGGGGAGTGTTGACTGGCCCGCTTCCTCTAGGCTGCCAGCCTCGCCCCGATGTATGATGCATAGTCTGGCTGTGTGTTGCCAGGATCAACATCAGATAACGACTTCAATGATTAATATGGCCATGATGTCCCTGTTTAGACTGACGTATCTTGAGTTCTACATGGAGCGATATTTTATGATTCTAGTTCCGCGTGGCCAGGATGATCCTGATTGAGCCTCTACTTATATAGCTACTCACCAAATAACGATCTGCGGCATAGATGTGATAAGCTTTATCACATTGGCACACATGCCGACATAGACAAAACGTCTCTCTTCATTAATAGAAATATAATTTCAAAAAATGTCTGTGATATGATTTTGTTTCGGGATGATGTTATTATTCAGCTTAATGCGGTTGCTGACGACGTTAACAAAGAACATCACAGACAATATATTTCATCAATCATATTTGAATGATATAGTTCTTAAAGATATATGACGTGGTAACGTAGCATGTAGCCATTAGACAGCTAAATCGTAGCTAATAACCATCCTTCATAAAAACATAAAAGCTGTACTGCAACAAATGATATTCTTCACGACAATTAAAGGTATTATTGAATCTCGCTGGCGTTGATCGACACGATGCATATAGGGAAACGAGTTGGGTGCATGTCCTGCTTCACAAATTTTATTTGCATGTAGGTGAAGCTTAATATGCAAAGACTAGTACCAGTGAGTGAGTGAGTGAGTGGTGTGGAAGGAGGGCCAAAAGTGATGCGGGTCTGAGACGTTTACCAATTTGGGAAACCTAACGAGCACCATAACCTAGAAATATAATCTTTGCGAACCTACCATATGACAGTTGTCTGGCTCTGCACACGCCACTAGGACAAAACTATGCGTTGACTTGCATCGTGAGAAAGTAAACACTGTGGCGGCACTACTGGGGGTGTGTGTCTTGGTCCAAGGGAGACTACTTGTAATTAAGACAAGAAACGGTGCATCTCCATAAAGCGCCCGGAGACTATTGCTGGTTGTTATCGACTATGTTGGGAAGTAATGCTTTCATAATAAATGTACAGTTAGAATACGTGTGTACGGACACATATATGTTGTAAAGGTTTTCTGCTGATGTTATGTCTTCTGTCTGACCCAGGCTATCCATGACGTTGAGCTGCCACATGTTTCTGGCCCGCTACCCGATGGACTCTCAGAGTTGTCCCATTATTATTCAAAGTTGTGAGTAACTATCATTTTTTTCTGGTCCAACGTTTGAATTTTCTATCATCTTGATATACGTCGACAATAGTTTACAAAGTCGATTTCCTCAGTTTTAAAAAAACGCATTACCTAAATATATAAAGCTTGTTATGATTTCGTATTAAATTTCAATATACCATTCTTAATGCTGTACTGATTTACACGGTCATAGAACATGTTTTCAAATCGGCTATTGTGTCATGAGAACATTGCTGTCTAGAGAACTCTGAACATGTCACCATGTTGTTTATACCACTGGTGTTATTCTGCAGTTCTATAGGCATCAGCTGATCAATCTTCCTTTGTCAAAACCTACCCCTTCAAGATGCGGATCAGCTGTATCGCAGTTCTCTCATTACAAGAGCTTGATTGCTTCAGGTTCAACGAACCCTTCAAGATAATGCTCAAAATTCTGAAAATAAAACAGATTGACATGTTGTCTAAATATATATATATTACCATTCCCGATACAACAATCAACACATTTTTGAAACTTGGTGTTTGTTTGGTTTGGTTTGTTGTTTGTTTGTCAACGCCGCACTCAGCAATATTCTAGCTGATATACGTGGCGGCGGTCTGTAAAGAATCGAGTCCCTACGAGTGATTGACATCACATTTACAGAATACTTCTTGTCCTTCCAGATACCTACACGACAGACAACGTGGTGTTCGCCTGGTCCCCCTTTAACCCCATTACGACCAATACAAACATGGAGCTGCCGCAATTTAATTTTCAGAAATATGAGATAGTGGACTGCCGTGACGTTTATGAAAGTACGTACAGAACTGTTGTAGTGTGAATAACTATACTGAAACATTTTGAAATTGCATATTCGAATTTTAAAATATTTGGCAAAATGGCCACACACAAAAACAAATTAATTTGTTCTGGGTTTTTAGGCATGAGCTAATCAAACAAAACAATGTGATTTTGTCACACAGTCATCATTCTGTGCCATGCAAGTACATATTTACTGCTAAATTCGTTTTCTTCTCCTTCTGGTTAAAGTTGATCAGCATTTTCATTGTGAGTCAGTATATGTAGAACTGAAATGTGTCCTTGGGTGCACATATTGGTTATGATCTACTCACTCACAATGTCGGCAAGTGAATATAGATAGGTTTTGGTCTACAAAAGTAACTGCTGATCAAATATTTTCTCAGTACTTAACAGTTCTCAAAGTTAACGATTTGTTAAAAAATGTTCACTGTGTCTGAAAACTTTCCCCAACATTGCATGCAACATTTTACGATCGCTTCGACATGTAAATGTATCATTCGGAAAAAATCGAAAAGTGAAAATTGAGTTACATTGTTTGGACGTAAGTCTAATATACGTGTTTGCTCTCATAAAATGCTACGTTTATCTTATAGATGATTAACACAATAAAAATTCTTTGATCTGATATTTCTCAGAACATTACCAATATGTGTTTGCCGTCGTGTTTTTGTTTTCCGTCCACTGTGATTAACAAGTCAATAGTATTTCTTTTTTAATCTGCTTCTTCGTCAAATACTCTGTAACAAAATTAATACATTCATGTCTTTATGTCGTTATACGGAGCTATGAGCCGCACGTGATGCAGTATAGAGGGTTTTATGCTACTTATATATCGATATCAGCCTTTCATGCAGTGCGTTTCTCAAACTCAAGCCAGGATGTTATTTCTCTTGACATGAAGTGGGTGGTCTTGTTCTCATGTGAAGGTGTGGCTCCTTGGAGTTGGAGTTGGATTTGGTCGTACCCAACAGTGAAACGCTTGAACAGCGACTTTGTTCAAAATGTGCCGCAGGACACCAAGCAGAAAATGTGCACCCATAATATGGAGATTTGTGATTGCTAACCTTATGAAATGTGCATACACGCTGATCCTGTATCAGGGCTAATCAATTAGATTGGAAGAGTTAGTGATGTGGAGTAAACGATTGGTGAATGTGAAATGGCGACTATATGTACATTTCAGAAATATTCCAGCTGACGCCGGAATGTAAATAAGCGAGTCTTGACCGGAAAATACAGTGGTTTACATCATGAAATACAATGACACGCCTAATCCAAGTAAGCGAGCCTGACCACCCGCTTCGACATGTGGTCGCTTTAGTCGCTTCCTACGACAAGCATGGGTTGCTGAAGACCAATTCCCTGTGTGAAAAACGTATCGGCCGATTGATTACAGTGAATACTAGAAAATCGGATACCACGCGTCAGGAATAAGCGTTTACGTTCATATAGTGAGTGAGTTAGTTGGGTTTAACGCCGCTTTTAACACTTTTCCAGCTATATCGCGGCGTGTCAGCTTAATGTGGGAGGAAAGCCAGAAGTGATGCAGGTCTCAGGCGTTTACCACTTCGATGAAACCCACGAGCACGGGTATTGTGCTGACCAACCTAGAAACATAATCGGGGCGAACCAGGATTCGAACCCACAATCATTGGTTTCTTGCGTGCCCAAGGGACGCAACTCTACACAGCGAATCGCGGCGTCTTAGGCGACTGGGCCACCCGTGCCCCCTTTTAATGAAATCCCCCGTCCGTACCTTTTCCTACAGAGGTTAGTGATTTTGGTGTAGATGTAACGCCGTTTTGAGCAGTGTTTCAATTCTATCACGGCTTTTTGACGGCGAACCTGCATTCAAAGCCACGATAACAGGTTTCTAACACTCCAAAGGGTCGGATATCTGCACAACAAATTGCGTCGCCTTAGACAAGACCACACGTGCACCCTCGTATTTTTTAACTTCTGCTTAAGTAATTTGATACGCACATCAAATAAGTTGAATGTGAAAAATTATGTATGACAATGTTGTCAATATTTCATTTGCAGAAAGATTCGCCTGCATAATGGCCAACTTCAAACTGAAAAGAGACATGGGGTATTTCATCCTTCAAGTGTATGTGCCTAGTGTTCTAATAGTAATTCTGTCGTGGATATCTTTCTGGATAGACATTGGAGCTGTCCCTGCTCGAATTTCATTGGGTGTTCTCACAGTCCTCACCATGACGACCCAGAGTTCCGGTGCGCAGTCGTCACTTCCGCGTGTATCGTATGTCAAGGCTATCGATGTCTGGATGTCGATATGTTTGTTCTTCGTCTTCACGGCTCTATTGGAGTATGCTTATGTTAATGTGCAATCAAGACGGGCTCAAAACCACCCTGAAAGATTTACAAACAAGAAGCCTGATATGAGCAAATTACCGCCATCAGTGAGTATAGGCACTTGACCAGACATATACACTAACGTGGAAACTATTTACGTATCGTAATCTGACAAATAAAACATTTATAACGAGTTTTTTTACTAACGATCTAATTCAAATAGCTCTATCAGTTGATTGATTTCTATATTTGGAGCCGATGCTTGTAATGATGACATTGAATGTATGGAACAAAATATGTATGGACTTTGAGCGTGAATTTTGGATATAATTCTCATTTCGAAACAACGTCATATGCGTATTTATTATAAGGATAAGTTTTGTTTCGTATTTATTGTCTCCATATACACACATACGTTCTGTGGACGAACCATAACTTACATGTATACTGTCAATACTGTAGATCAGTTATATATACACACATACGTTGTGTGGACCAACCGTAACTTACATGTATACTGTCAATACTGTAGATCAGTTATATATACACACATACGTTCTGTGGACCAACCATAACTTACATGTATACTGTCAATACTGTAGATCAGTTATATATATACATACATACGTTCTGTGGACCAACCGTAACTTACATGTATACTGTCAATACTGTAGATCAGCTATATATACACACATACGTTCTGTGGACCAACCATAACTTACATGTATACTGTCAATACTGTAGATCAGCTATATATACACACATACGTTCTGTGGACGAACCATAACTTACATGTATACTGTCAATACTGTAGATCAGTTATATATACACACATACGTTCTGTGGACCAACCATAACTTACATGTATACTGTCAATACTGTAGATCAGCTATATATACACACATACGTTCTGTGGACGAACCATAACTTACATGTATACTGTCAATACTGTAGATCAGTTATATAAACACACATACGTTCTGTGGACGAACCATAACTTACATGTATACTGTCAATACTGTAGATCAGCTATATATACACACATACGTTGTGTGGACCAACCATATCATACTTGTATACTGTACTATACGAGTACATGTAGTTACTTGCTATGAACCTGTTTACCCTCTCTTTTTCATGCATTATGTTCACTAATCTGGTTTATTTCTGTTCCCAGGAAAGTGACAACGAAATAACCACCAAGGTTCGGAAGTCATTTTTAGCAGCTCGTCAGTTGGACAAATATTCACGATGGATCTTCCCTGTGGCGTTCATAGTTTTTAATATAATTTATTGGTGTATATATCTACACGTTGAATGAAAAAGGCCCTATCTGTTCTCTTGAGTGTAAAGTGGGTTGTTTTCACGTTTGATTGTACAATGTATGCACAGCAGTGTAGGTACCATGTTAACGTCATCTCGTGACACATTTTATTTAAACTTTACACATTTTTAATATAAATATTTTTTTACAAATCTCTACATTGAGTGTTGTGAAGGTTATGGATACACATATGCTGTGTATATAGTATTGATACTATAAATATCGATTATCGTCGCAATATTAATGTACGTAATATATTGATTAGTATTGCCTTTCATACAATGCATATATAATACATTACATGAGACAATAGTATTATACGTACTTGTAATTAATTTAGGAATCGAAATTAAGGTTTTAGAAGTCACACATCCTCATGACTTGATTTCTTAAACATGTTTATTATGTGCGGCATTTTAAAATGTAATGGCTGTACATTATTTGTACATGATACTGTCCCATTTCCGTCACGCTGAAAGCGACCAGGTTGATAGAATTCAGCGACAACAGTCGGAGCACATATTTCTTAAAGTATCTCTCGTTCTTGCTTCAACAAGCTTATGCTTTTTTTTTAAACAGACAAACTTTATCTATTATATGTTGTTATTTTCTGTTTGTTACATGAATAATGATATCAAATTCGTCTGTTAAAGGCGGCAAAGATAATTTGGTATGTTGTGAATTTTTAAACCAATTTTTTCGAAGGCAATTTTCATTTGTTTATACAATTACAAGTGCCTGTGGCCTTTAATCGGTACACTTGCTATTTCTCTGGAGAGAAGTTGTGTATGTTCCGCTGATCATACGATCTGTTGATATTGATGCTTATCACTAGCTACAAAGTCAGCTATTGACCCCCTTATGTGAAGTCATGACACTATAGATTTCAGTATTAATCGTGCTGGAGATAGATTTCGACATTAACTCTGGTTCATGAGTGATGCAAAGTTTGAAACAATATATGTGAGTAATGGTGGTTACCCCTTGTAATAAGTCAAATATGTATTCATGCATTCCAGTAAAGACCACCCTCTGTTTGTACCGATCGTATATTTAAACTTGTGCATTTTAGGATACATGTATTGAAAAATAATGAAACTATTGGTGAATATGACACTGATCTGAGACGCAAGTTAAACCCAATGATCAATAACGTTCATGCTAAGCACCCTCCATGTACATTGCACCCATTCCATCACAAGTATGTTCAAACACTACTAATGTTAGTAATATATGAACGACCCGTGACATTTGTTTTTATCATTTCCATTGTGGGTATGGTTATATTTGAGACAACCTGGGGGCGGTCGGGTAGCCTAGTGAGTGGTTAAAGCTTTCGCTCGTCACGGCGAAAACCCGGGTTCGATTCCCGACATGGGTACAATGTGTGAAGCCCATTTCTGGTGTCCCCCGCCGTGATATTACTGGAATATTGCTAAAAGCGGCGTAAAACCATACTCACTCACTCAGTGAGACAACCAATGTTTTTTTAGAGAATCGTACTGTATTTATCGTCAATAAGACAGACATTTTCTTGTATGTACTTTCAAACATGGAGATTTTTTTGTGGATGTCTCTACAGAAATTATAGATTTTTGAAAATGCAAACATGCGCAGAAAAATTATTTAACTGATGTGAATATCTTTAGCACAATTTAGATGCAGCTCACGCAGGTGAATGGTTGAAGTTGGATGGCACAAAAAGTACCAAACGTTATGGATTAAATATACAATGTTCCTTAAATGTCATGGAAGATGAACTTCAATTTTTGCTTATATGCTATAAATATAATAATTTAGGGAACAAAAATATTGAACAAAAGTACTGAGGATATCCAAAAAATACAAATATATCTCTGTAATGTCACATGAGTCACCTGTGTCACTATACGAAATATATCTCTATTTATATATCATGCCATGTTGTTAAGAAATGAATTTTTGTAAAATGTAAATCGCTTCCACACTGCCATGTATTCTGTTCTATGTGCCCATGGCCTTACAGTTAAATATGAATATACTTAATTGTATTATTTGCATTCTTTCCGAAATAAAATCTCTTGAATACGAATTATGTGTCTTTAGCTTACCAATATGTCAGCGGTGTAGTATCAACGGCTAGTGGTACACGGATTAGCATTCATGCATGTTGTGTCGCGAGTGAATGTAATCTGCCGACGTTTGCTCTGTGGAGCTTTTTGTATTTCGCCACACACATGTCGGTACAAAACAGATAACTGAAATAATAGATATACAAACACAATAACATACGCAAACACGGTAAAGTTTAATCCATAATCTGATCATGACTGCTTTATTTGTAAGAATATTATTATGTTGATTGCAGGCCCCTTCCATATGTGACGATTGATGATCGGTTGTGAAAACAAATGGGGCTTATTGGTTAACGATCACAAGGGTTCGTCCGATGGTAGGTGACAAGTATTATCCAAACGCAAGGGCGCTAGGCTGGTATTATGGAGTTACATTTTGGCTGGACCAACGAGTCTATGCATAGTCCAATCACAATCGAGCAACGAAATCGAAATCTGGTTTGAAAACTGTCATGCAGATTTCGGTCAATTGCAGGAATTTCAAAGAAAGTGCAACCGCCATGTTTTTATTCCAGGTTCTCACGTGACTTGGTGCACTTGGCGATGTAAGACCCGTTTTATCACAATATAGATCTTGATTATCGATCGGATCGTCTTGACCTGGCGCCGCCATTTTTTTTGAAGTAAATGCAAGTGATACGAGAGGTGGAATCTGACGGGTACATAGGAGAGGCATAGAAGGGACATAACTCGTTATAGCCACTGGTGGCGCTACGATCGAGCACAGGAATTCAGGCCTAGTTCGTCAAGGGTGGAAACTGGACTTTTAAAGACAGTTAACTCTCTTGCCTCGGGAAGATGTGGGGTTCTTGACTTGTAGCAATATAGTGGGATGACAGAATTGATAAATCACGTTCCTCGTTATGAACCAAACAAGGTATGAATATCAACATCCGACATACATCCAACTAAAAGATGAAGTTATATGCATATATACATTCCTACCATACTTGTGTACGATGGTTGTATTGCAACTGTTCCAATGACACGATGGCGGGAGTAATACACATCACATGTTGGAAATCGAACCCGCCTAAGAAGAGCAATACGTTATGAGTACGTTCACAAATATAAGGATCTGGTCAGTGAACAGTGAATCCATGTATATTTGTTTAAAGCACATGAAGCATTCATATAAAGCATGTTTATGAATATAGAACTGTTGGGGAACGGTGGTGTGTAACAGAACTTCTGCTATATGGCATGTGTGTGTGTGGCTGTTGTGGAAGGAATGTCTGAAGTAAGAGCGAACTGAGACGCGATACACAGGAGCACTGTCTTCATGCTGTTAGACAGGGAATAATACATACACGCAATGAATACACGGCGTCAAGCAGTGTTGTGTACAAACACGGCCAAATGCATGCATTTGTGACACAAACACACTGCTGTAGAATGTGTTGTCCTTGGACATGACCCATATACACATACCTTCACTGATTTATGCCAAGCAAGAAACCATTTCTGTGTGTGGCGAACTCGTGCATTTTACACGCTGTACACATAAATACATACTCTCAGGAAACAGTAGAGGATATTCGGAAATAACAGATGATTACAGAAATGTAAATAGGAATGCGGTTATTGTAATGGATTGATTAGAATAAGTAAGGACTGGCTAACGTCTACGTCGGCGTAAACCTGTCCCGATCGTGTGTCAGACGTGATTTATGGGGGAAAGGCCAGGGCCCCTGGGTGGCCATGGCATTCTGGTGATGTGTCAGACGTGATCTATGGGGGAAAGGTCAGGGCCCCTGGCTGGCCATGGCATTCTGGTGATGTGTCAGACGTGATCTATGGGGGAACGGCTAGGACCCCTGGCTGGCCATGGCATTCTGGTGATGTGTCAGACGTGATCTATGGCGGAAAGGCTAGGATCCCTGGCTGGCCATGACATTCTGGTGATGTGTCAGACGTGATCTATGGGGGAAAGGTCAGGGCCCCTGGTTGGCCATGGCATTCTGGTGATGTGTCAGACGTGATCTATGGGGGAAAGGTCAGGGCCCCTGGCTGGCCATGGCATTCTGGTGATGTGTCAGACGTGATCTATGGGGGAAAGGTCAGGGCCCCTGGCTGGCCATGGCATTCTGGTGATGTGTCAGACGTGATCTATGGGGGAAAGGTCAGGGCCCCTGGCTGGCCATGGCATTCTGGTGATGTGTCAGACGTGATCTATGGGGGAAAGGTCAGGGCCCCTGGCTGGCCATGGCATTCTGGTGATGTGTCAGACGTGATCTATGGGGGAAAGGTCAGGGCCCCTGGTTGGCCATGGCATTCTGGTGATGTGTCAGACGTGATCTATGGGGGAAAGGTCAGGGCCCCTGGCTGGCCATGGCATTCTGGTGATGTGTCAGACGTGATCTATGGGGGAAAGGTCAGGGCTCCTGGCTGGCCATGGCATTCTGGTGACGTTTTGCTGCTGAATGTAATCTGCTGAAGCTAATCGATACGTGCACAGTTAGCACGAGCTTTAGCGCCTTGAAAGACAAAACGTGAACCAGCAATGCGCGCAAACGGCAACTATTGGCGCCAGTATGTTGTCTTGGTAGTACTGTCCAGTGATCAGTACGCAGTGGTGTTCTGGCAGTTATAGTCATCACGTCCAATGTCATTATAGACCCACCCCCAAATATGTCATGGTGCCTTACGTTGGCTTTCGCATGCCGTTCGTTAGAAAGCCTCCACACGTCCCCGCCTATCCTGAAAGTCCTGAGTTACACTGGATTCATGTGAAAACTTTACGCGAGACAGTGGGCGATCTATTCCAGTTTCTACGCTCAAAACGCCATTGGCGTATGCCTCGAATGTTTCGCTTTGTTAATGGTAGTAAAACACGTAGTCCCCGAGTATGTAGATTAGATTACTTATTGTGTGGTCGGTAACAGTAATTCCGATGGCCTTGTCCAACAGCTGTTTAGGCTCGATTTCTTAAAGTCTGTTCCAAAGTCTGCAAATCAAAGACTGAGATACAATGAACACCTACTGAACCACAAAGGAAACTTCACTTCATTAGTGAGTGAGTGAGTTTGGTTTTACGCCGCTTTTAGCAATGTTCCAGTAATATCACGGCGGGGGACACCAGAAATTGGCTTCACACATTGTACCCATATCGGAAATCGAACCCGGGTCTCGGCGTGACGAGCTTACGCTTTAACCACTAGGATACACGACCGCCCCGTCACTTCATGAAAATTTCCCATTGAAATATCAATGCTGCCTGTTGGAGGTATCTCCTTTTTGACATTGGTCACGTGTATTGTTAACGGCCAAAACGTGACACAAATAATGATATAATGGGTCGTCGAAAAGCAGCTTAACAACAAACATAGTATAACGTCTCGAATGCTTTCCATGAAATCTATAAATTCGTTTTCGTTTCCTTGTGCCTTTTCTGAAAAACGACACGCCAATACGTGGATCCAACATTCTTGTATCGATAATAGCGCCATGCCGAGACTTAAGAAGAATCAAAGAAACCAGGCTTCAGGACGACTACTTTATAATTAGCTACCTGCTGCTGAATTCTACCAGTTTGACGCATGCCATACGCCCTAAGGCGTCAGTCACTTAGTAGACGACCGATTTCCCGATATGAACACAAATACTGCATTCAAGCAAGAGTAGAGAGCCTACATGTTACTGTGGATAATGAAAATCAACAACACCAATGACTCCTTTCACTGAAGTGTCAGAATCATAAATGACCACGTGCACGGTGGAGCTGCATGGTTCACGTGCAATGTTTCGGGGGTGTTTGGGGAGTTAGGTTTTGGTCCCTAAACCGTTCTAACTCAGCTAGTTTTCAAAGCTTTCTCCTGTTCATCATAGTAATATATAATTTCATGAATCCCCTAAACTATTGACATAATTATCTTCCGTATCTGCTGCTCACCGTTCATGAATAATCTGATCTCGATTAAAGCAACTTAGGATCATTGTCTGATACGTGTATGTTCTTTTATTAGGAGACCTTTGGATGTATTTACACACTGGGAATTCACAGCTGTTTATAGCACCACGTCACAGGTCGAGTTGGAAATGCTATATATTTCCCAGGTACACGTAATGAATGGAGGTGGAATGGAATGTTGGGAAGGAGACATTGATTGTGAATACGCCCACCATAATGTCAACCATAGTCTGCGTCACCATGGTGTATATAACACATGATGGTGATGTACATCAGAGAATAACTGGAAGTAAATCGTCCTTAAAGCTTGTGAAATGTTTTAGAGGTCACTGCGTTGTTATTCCACCCAAGTGTGAAACAGGTCTAGTAGTGACGTTGTTCTGTTCATGGGCATTTACATTCACTTAAGAATGATTTAGGTGGATCCAAGGGGTAGGTAAACTATATCTGCATCACAAGAGTTGTGTAATAAATGGACAATAAAGAAACGTCGATGGTAATATGTCGCACCATTTCATGGAATAAATGCACACAATTGGCACAAAACAATCGTATCAAATTCAGACAGACACTTGATACACTTCACATCCTGAATCTCGCATTTATCACCTTCCGTATTCATGCAAATCTAAATGCAGACGTTGATTTGTTCATTAATGATGGGGGCGTTTATGTACCTTCATTCTACTGAGTCCATCTGGTAGCCAAGAGCACCCAACAACCCTCCATTCTATGGTGGGCACATATCGACACTTACGTGTCTTCTGTCTTGGGTTGGTAATTCTCAGAGCAACAACTGGTTCACTCACATCCACACACGTCCCGGCACTTCCCAACCTGGTTTTACGACACTGAACAAAGTCTCGTGTTCCTGGAAATCTCAAATTGTCAACGTCCATCATAATGGATGTAGTGCACAGGTATCTCTCGTCTTTCAGGATCTTGTTTTTTCTGGTCCCAAGTAAGTTATCAATCCAGGGATTTGTCGTAGGTACATTCTTCAATGCCTCCTTCCAAAATGGTTCGAACCGTTTCTTCACTTTAGGTATTGTGAAAACAAGAATTGATGGTTGTTTCTTCTTATAGTTTGCAATTAGTTTGTACAGGTATATGTCTCTGCGCGGGATGCACAGACACTCATTCTTCAGCATGCGTCTTCCTGTGGGGGCACACAACGTGACCACCATTCCGACCAGGATTTCAGAAACAAGGGTCATCTGAAAACATATATAAAGATGATTAACTAGGTCACTTGCATTGTTGATCTTAATGTGATTAATGATATAGCGTGCCCTCTTCACAGACAATCACATATGTTGACACACACTGGAAAGGCATTGCGCCCAATAACCACTAGAATCAAAGAACATGTTGCTTTATCGGACATGATTACAACACCCCCGACCCAAATATCTACTTTCAACAAACGCGTATATCATCACCCACACCATCACACACATCAGCCACAACATCACACACATCATTCACAACATCACACACTTCAACCACAACATCACACACATCAGTCACAACGTCACACACATCAGCCACAATATCACACACATCACACACATCAGACACAACATCACACACTCCAGTCACAACATCACACACATCATTCACAACATCACACACATCAACCACATCACACACATCAGCCACAACATCACACACTTCAGCCACAACATCACACACATCAACCACAACATCTCACACATCAGACACATCAGACACAACATCACACATCACACACATCAGACACAACATCACACACATCAGCCACAACATCTCACACATCAGCCACAACATCTCACACATCTGCCACAACATCACACACATCAGCCACAACATCACACACATCAACCACAACATCTCACACATCAGCCACAACATCACACACATCAGCCACAACTTCACACACTTCAGCCACAACATCACACACTTCAGTCACATCACACACATCAGCCACAACAGCACATACATCAGCCACAACATCACACACATCAACCACAACATCTCACACATCAGCCACAACATCACACACATCAGCCACAACATCACACACATCAACCATAACATCACACACATCAGCCACAACATCACACACATCAACCACAACACACATCAGCCACAACATCACAGACATCAATCACAACATCACACACATCAGTCACAACATCACACACATCATTCACAACATCTCACAAATCAGCCACAACATCATACACATCAGCCACAACATCACACACTTCAGTCACAACATCATACACATCAACCACAACATCACACACATCAGCCACAACGTCACATACATCAGCCACATCACACACTTCAATCACAACATCACACACATCATTCACAACATCGCACACATCAGCCACATCACACACATCAGCCACAACATCAACCACAACATCACACACATCAGCCACAACATCACACACATCAGCCACAACATCACACACATCAGACACAACATCACACACATCAGCCACAACATCACACACATCAGACACATCAGACACAACATCACACACATCACACACATCAGCCACAACATCACACACATCACACGTCCACACATCACACACATCAGACACAACATCACACACATCAACCACAACATCTCACACATCAGCCAAAACATCACACACATCAGCCACAACATCACACACTTCAGCCACAACATCACACACTTCAGTCACATCACACACATCAGCCACAACAGCACATACATCAGACACACCATCACACACATCAACCACAACATCTCACACATCAGCCACAACATCACACACATCAGCCACAACATCTCACACATCAGCCACAACATCACATACATCAGCCACAACATCACACACATCACACACATCAGACACAACATCACACACATCAACCACAACATCACATACATCAGCCACAACATCACACACATCAACCACAACACACATCAGCCACAACATCACACACATCAATCACAACATCACACATATCAGTCACAACATCACACAAATCATTCACAACATCATACACATCAACCACAACATCACACACATCAGCCACAACGTCACATACATCAGCCACATCACACACATCAATCACAACATCACACACATCATTCACAACATCACACACATCAGCCACATCACACACATCAGCCACAACATCACATACATCACACACATCAGCCACAACATCACACACATCAGCCACAACATCACACACATCAGACACAACATCACACACATCAGCCACAACATCACACACATCAGACACATCAGCCACAACATCACACACATCACACACATCAGCCACAACATCACACACATCACACGTCCACACATCACACACATCAGACACAACATCACACACATCAGACACAACATCATACCCATCCGGAAAGGAAACTCCAATAAACCAAAGAGATACAAAGAAACAAGTTATCCGTTACCAAAGACCCAGGCCTCGGCCTACAAAGCCTATCCTCAACTGTACTGTGGCCCGGTGGACCACGCTGTGGTGTTGTCCCCATGCTGTTATTGCCACCAACTTAATCACTCTGTTGTCACCAGCCTCCCACCTCGTTTATCCTACTGATATTACCAAACATGTATCCTGTGTTTGTTGTTTAACGCCGCACTCAGCAATATTCTATCTATATCACGGCAGTCTGTAAACAATAGAGTCGGGCCAGAGAATCCAGTGATTGACATCATGATCATGAGCATCGATCCACGCAGTTTGGATACGGTGAAATGCATCTACAAAGTCAGCGAGCTTAACCACCCGATATCGTTAGTCGCTTCTCGCTGAAGACCCATTCTAACCCAAATTTGCACGGGCCTGTGTATACATAACGTGATTGAAAATATTACTACACGTATCCGTTCATTCGGTCACCAGCAAGAAGTGTTTCCCGACAAACGATAATGAGTCCATAATACAACAAATACACGGGAACGCACACACGACACTAAACTTCACTTATAGAGTTATTCGCAATGACATTTTAAACAAAATTAATGTATACCTACATGTTTAAAGGTGTTCATTCAGACAAATGAGCTTCTTATCCTGTAACGTGAAGGCACGGTGACTGTTCTATGTCGCGATATACAAGTACTGCATCCGCGCAAGTCTTTTGATGCAGGATTATAAAAATACACCCACGTGTTAATGGAAATAAAGGGACTGGGAAAACCCGGCTATTATTCGTTGTTCATATGTGCATTTCATTAGTGTGGAAGGTCCTTGCATTGTGAATATTGATACATGACAGCCATGTGATAGCAAAGGTTCTTAGCAGTGAATTTATAAACGATCAGAAATAACGTCGCAGTAAAACCAAGAGAGCGAATTCCAAGTGGTATGGTTTGTTACGTTCTAACGAGTAATCACGACGATCCGAACTACCGTGAGGGGTGTTCTTGTACTTCGGGAGTATAGATATACAGAGTATAGTTTAGAATGATCATAACCTAACTACGCGTGTGTACATTCCACAGCCGGGGCAACCATTCACACATGCTCTATGTTACACGTCCATGAACACAAGTTGCAACACGCAGAGTTTTCTCTTCTTGGGATCTGTTTCATAGCTATTTATTCCATAATAGAAATACGCGACAAACACTTACAGTCAAGAGGATCTAAATAGACAAGAAATAGATAAATATTATTATGTTTAACGCGAGTGTTTCTTTCGATGCCTTATGTGTAAAAAAGTATTGTTCTACATATATTTGTTTTTGTTAACGCCGCACTGGGAACTTCTTCCAGGTATATATTGGCGGCCTATAAATAATTGAGTCTGGACCCGACAACCCAGTGATAGATATTAATTGCAGCCATCTACGTCGTATCACACAATCACCAGAACGCCCGAATCATTGCGACCAGCGGGATTCCGCAGAGGACGGGGGCGGCACAGTTACGAGTAAGTAAGTGAGTTGGGTTTATCGCCGCTTTTTACAGTAGTCCAGTTATATCGTGGCGTGTCAACTTAATGTGGGAGGAAAGCCAGAAGTGATGCAGGTCTCAGACGTCTACCACTTCGGTGAAACCCACGAGAACGGGTGTGGTGCTGACAAACCTAGAAACATAATCGGGGCGAACCGGGATTCGAACCCACAATCATTGGTTTCTGGCGTGCCCAAGGGACGCAACTCTGCACAGCAAATCGCGGCACCCAAGACGACTCGGCCGCCTGTGCCCCCCGCACAGTTACGAAAGGACATCACGATAAACGCCTGAACAGAAAGAACACAAACGAACAATAAATATCCTCCGTGATATATAATATCTTAATTCATGCCATATTAATGAAATTGTTTTTAAAGCAAATCTGAACTTTGGTGAGAAAACAATATGTGAAATGCAGGATTTCCCCATAGATAACACGTCATGTCAAATGTGTGAAGAGGACATTTAGACATAAAGTTGAGGCACCAACTACCCCCTACTCACTAGTTTAAGCAGATATATCTATGATTATGGAAATGGTTCTGTCTCTGTTATTGTTAATTGTTTCTGTTTAAGTCAAGTATTTGATGTATGTATATTTGACTGTTTTCATATTCAGATGTACACTTCAGCCTGATGATAAAGAAGTATAACACGATAGACTGCATACATGACTACAGGGAAGTCAGTAGGGCCTCTGCTCTGTCTATTATGGAGTATTATACGGTCAGCGATTGCGTGTATGTACTTGAACTTGTACGTGCGTACATCTACACAAGACCCAATTCCTACCTATCCCTTAAATCCACGAAACTACCCAGGAGCAGACAGAATGTCAGGCCTGAGATGGCGGGAATATTGCTAATGGTGGCCACTTAGCTTGGCCCTGTAGCCAAGTAATGACCATGGTTAAAGCTTTTACTGTACCAAATGTCATGCTTTTTCACTCAAAGTGCACAATTCGGCCCTATCTTATAGACTTAGCCGCTCCTCGACTAATATCGAGGTGTTAATAAAGCTACGAAAAATAAGACACATGTCACCGTACATGCCGTTACATTTATAAGACACACAAGACATATTATTGTTCTGTATTGTTTCATTCTATTAAATTCTTGGATGTTTTGAAATGGTCTGGTTTGCGTAAAAGAACAAACTGTAAAAAAATTCTGTCTCTAAGAAAACTAAATAACCATGGAGAGATAGTTTTGAGTTGTCTCATGAGGTGTAAAGGTGAGTTAATTATTTCTAATATATGTGTGCGTTCACAATATTCCTCCACTCACTGTTAGACAGCTACAGACATAAAGCAAAGGTTAATGGCGACCAACTTTAACCTGGAACCTCCAATTGCAAGGACATATGCATTTGTGAACTTATGTAACAACACACACACACACACACACACACACACACACACACACACACACACACACACACACACACACACACACACACACACACAACACACACACACACACACACAACACACACACACACACACACACACACACACACACACACACACACACACACACACACACACATGATGTTAGTTTGGGTGCCTTACATCATTACCTTCACGTTAAAGCATCATTGCTCATCGTTTATCAGACTTTGGGCACAGGCGCAAGTCAAGTATCAAGTTGTCAGACTCTTGTCTCATAATTGTGAATGTGATTTCTGGATGTTCCAAGTGTTTCACGTACCTGTTCAACTTTGTGAACGCTTCATTTTAAAAGTAGAATGCTTTAATCCCTTTTTAGTGTTAAGTTGCTCTCGTACCTATTGTCCGTTTTGAAGTTATAGTTTTAGTCCTTGCTGCATGTCCTAACGAAACGAAAGTGTAAAGCAACAAATCTCAAGGCAACGCTTTCAATATAAAATCTGGAAGAATCACTGAATATAAACCTCACATTTCGTGACGCAAATGATGGCGTCATCTTATCGCCGTGTAGGTGTAATGATTCACAGGCACAGCATCAGGTGGTTGCCACGAACAGCCGACTGTCCTCATCTCAATATACGGAACATAGAAACATTTTTCACCGACATCCCAGGGGTTCATAATCCTCAGAACAGGAACAGGTATTTTAACGGGTTTACATGAACCCATAAGGTCTTTTGTGCGTTTACGGCACTGAATAAAAGTTTGCTTTGAGGGATATCGGAGATGATTAACTTCCAGCAGAATGGATCTATCACAAGGCTCTGTGTCTTTGCCGAAGTTCTGTGTCAAAGCAGACTTAAACGGAATCGTTTCAGGAAAACGATCTTTCTGTTTATACCACTTTGATCTTGTCCTCACCTCGGGTATCACATATTGAAGTAGATACGGTAAACGTTTCGTAAAGTTATACAGTGTTTTATGCAAATGTCTTTTATTTGGCCTCTTGCACTGGCGTTTATTAACGACGTAGCTCCTTCCATCTGTGAAACTGTTAAGCCAAACCAAACTGACAAACAGGGTGACCAGCATTCGCATCTGAAACATGAAACATGAGTGAGTGATCATAAGCGAGACTGATAATGTGAATTTCACTCTTTGGTCACTTCACTGTGAAGGGTATTCCAGTCTTACAACGTGGATAAACATTCAACATTATTACCCATATGAATTCATGATGTAAAAAAACCCACTTCATACATTTTGTTCTGAGGTACATCGCTACGAAATGATTATATGTCTTATAATAAAATATAATATAGTTTGTTACTACAACTTACTCAGCCTGGTTAATAGCATTGTTATCGTATTTTATCAAAAATAGAAGTCATTTACGGGATAGAAAAGTTTCGAATCAAGATTAGTTATTGTCAAATATGATGTCCGATGCAATTTACTATTTGATTTGAACCATTGTTGGCGTGTTTTTTTCAGGTGAACATTTGACTAGGCTGTGCATATGTTTGTGACGGGTGATACCGTTTGGGCAGGATGCGCACACGTTTTAGCGAACACCTGGTATCATCTCTATTTGACAGTGATTCATAAACACATGCTCATGATTCAGTCGTAGTGGTACACTCGACTCAGATTTTGGCAGATATTTACCATGAGTACGGAAAGGGTTTCGTCGCTTTTATTTATTTCCGTGGACTTTGATCAACTTCATTCAAGGGATTATATATACGGAGTGTGGTAAACAACATGTTCATTCAAACGCTTCTAGCTTTACGAAACTTCATACCAACAGAAATAAGAATATGTATCGTAATGCGTAGTGTGCCCTGGCATAAAGAGCAGCGGCGACAGTCTGCTATGAGTAGGGGCATTTTGGAATTGTGATAATTGTACCCGTCATCCGACACATATGTGAGACACTTATCAAAATGACTACTGGCTGTTATTGGCAGCAAACGCTTACGCCAAGTAATTAGAGGTGCATGTGTAGTTCTGCTACTCCAAACCCATCTATTAATTATTGTTTGAGGTCCAATATAAATTGTTGCATCTGGTTGGTTATATCAATGTGATTTTTTAATGTGAAGATTACACGAAATGTATTACGACGAACTGTCTTTGTGACTGACTTACCGAGGTTGTTAACAGACCTTTATCGACTAATGATGATATTTAAAAAAAATTGTTCTAACTACAAAAGGTGTTCTTGAACAGCATACATACGCTCTAATCATCTGTCAAAATGAGGAACTATTTTATTCCCCAATACAGCTGATTGTTGTTTGACTCTCGGTGTAAACATAAAGTCACGCGCACTTGATGAAATTGTGTAATCCAATCTTCGAGATATACAATAGTGACATCGACAATTATAAGAAATGACATTCACTTTGTGTGAGTTCAATGGAGTATGATTCTTCGTATACACAGTCAGGGCCAAAACATCAATGGATGTCCTCGCCAATTGAAAGTCACTTCTTAAATGTATACATAACGGGCGTTATAGCTTAAACATATTTTATTGATACAAAATGCAAGAAATGAGACAGCTATTTGGCAAATTATTTCGCCTCCTCCCTGACGTCATGCATCTGTAGGTAGGTAAGACTGAAAACATTGACCAGTAATTAGGAAACCACATCTACAATTGAAACGTCATACAATGAAATTAACGGAATGTAATCAAGCGAAATACATGTATTGTACAGTGAAAATGAAAACATGTGATATGAACTAATCCCTTACGAAAACGTAAGTTCTATTGCAACACCTGAATGTTCTATGCTTGAAAACATGAATGTATACTTTATACAGCTTTGAAGCGATGTATACAATGGGATGTCATTGAGCTATGTGTGTCTACGTACAACTTGCTGAATAGACCTTCAGGGGCAGGATGGTAGCCAGTGATTCGTCCGGCCGAATACCCGGATTCAGTTCGCAAAATACTTACTGGTGACCCTGTTTATGATATGGCTGGAATATTTGAAGAAGTAAAACCACACTCACCGACGCCTGGCATCAGGAAAGTGAATGTGTACATATTTGGTTTGGGTTTGGTGGGTAAATATTCTGATGACGTGATGCTTGAATGTACTTATGTGTTGGGCGCCACATGAGCGTGATTACCCAGGTGACAGTACACGTGAGCAGCTACACACTGATGAGAGAACCTACTGATGTAGGCGTGCATATGTAAGTAGATATAGATATATATATATATATATATATATATATAATCATATGTGTATTTATGTCTGGTTTGAATAGGCTTGGTTCATCTTTGTCTGTAGATGATCTTTGATAAATGACCACATGAATGAATCGCTTTGGATTAAAGAAACAAATACCAACTGTAGTAGCTAATTATCATAACTTATCATCATCACTATATTTCAGAAAGAGTTAGGTAACCTAGTAGAAATACAAATGCACTTGTACATCACCACTAAAGCTTTGTGGATAACTACAGATGACAACATCACGCAAACGTGAACTTAATTAAGAACGTCGTGGATAACACTCAGATGTATGCCCAGTTCAATGTCACCCATGTATGATCAAAATAAGAAATATACTTCATTTAGTAGCTGAATATTAAATTTGATTCGACAAACCCAACTCAGCATTGGTTAGAACCGTTGATTATGTTATATATACCCAGGCCATCGGACACTTTGCCAAGAGTTTAGAAAATGGCTTAAGGGTGTCATGGTAGATGTGCCCGAAGAAATGGTCAATATACATAGTTGTATAGAAGTAACACAAACGTCATGGGCCACTAATATTTGTTCAGGAAATTTGTGCGTATCGTGTGGAATTGTCTGACTCTGTTGTGGAGATGCACGCAGCTCTGTTGTATGTGGTACCTAGCCAATACATGGATGTTTATACACTGACGTTCCCGATCAGTGACACCGGTCCTTGCCTTTTTCTCTGATACGGTACATGTCATTCCAACAGTGCTATTAATCGTTTCTACCATGATCGTTTGGTCTTTACAATGCCTGTAAGAAAACACCTTACAACCTTACGCCGGTGTCTTTAGATGGCGACTTTGTTTGTATGCACGACTTATCCCGACCATTCATCGAACACGCCACGGAGTTACATTGCGAAACAATGCAAGGTTATGGTTTGGTCGGCGTATTGCCCGGACGTGAGTTCAGTCTACACTGTATTGGACGAGGCCCAAGTCAAGTCTCACAGCCTGCTGTCAGGGCCGGTCACATTGACTTTAAGACATTACACATTCGTGAGCTTTTCACGTCAAAGTCATTTTGGAGATGATTATAAGTTACACCCGACACTGAATCTTGTTTTTGAAGGATCTGGCACTTTATCAAGTGTCATCAAAGTGTCCATTCTAATAACATCAAGGTAAAATTTAAACACCTTGGTATTGAAGTTTCATCGCAAATAAACTATGTATCCACTGGTCTAAAATATATTGCCATTACAAAAGCAGCCCTATAATCATTGTTTAGTATACATCTGTTCTGACAACTATCTGTTTAAATTTGATTCCAGTCAATTTTACATTGTTCCAGATAATCAGACACATCAAGACGCAGGATATAGATGTACATTTACGTACATGCATCAGTGGAATATATAGTTGATGCACTTCTGTTTAGTTTGATTGGGAATCCTGACAACACTGACATAGAATCCATGGAAGACAGTGTGGAAGAGTTATAGTCACCGATAATATACCACTTTGTACTTTGAACAATATCGATTGTGATTGATCAATCTGAGGTTTCAGATGTGAGGCTCAGACGGTAGTTTGTGTCACTAGCGAGTGGGAGATTACCAGAGTCAGGCTCACACATATCCTGGTGAACGTCACATAGAAACAACAAGAAGCACACATTGCCAAACACGTTCTGCCCTGCTTCAACTTAGCTGGTTATGTGTTGTCTCTACAACTGCATCCACACCATAGAGGTAGCGCTACACACTAACAGCAACTTAACTAGGCTAGACGTCTCAACATCCGTTGCGAAAGATTATGTCTTATCTCGAAAACTTCTTGAATTGTCAGGTTCGTAGGAACATCCCACAGTTTTGAAATAGAAATCCCATACCACGCACCGACAATATATGTGTGCAGGGCGGACGATCTGTAGGACGTGTACAGGTATTTTCACGGGCTTGCAATGTCCTTTCAGATGTTTCGGCGGTGGACAACATCTGTATTCGTGTATACGTCGCGGATATCGCAACTTACTGTAGGTCAAAACATCCATTTTACGACATACGTCATTATAGTCATCGTGCCAATATCCCGTGCAAATGTCTTTTGGAAATATGTCTGTTGTCAAAGGTTGTGCAAATGGTTCTTTCCAAAAGTCTCTCTCCATTTCTTTTCTAAATTCATCCATTTTTTGGGGTATATTATAAATAAGTGCGTCCTTGAACCTGGCATGTTTCTTGAATCTCGACAGCTCTCTTCTTAAGTTTCTTCTCTGTGGCCTTGTGCAAGTGGTCGAGCTGTCGATGTCATTACGTCCCGCTGATGATGCACAGGTGATAGATGCGGTTTCCTCATCCAGCCTGGTGACTGTAACACATCCAAGCAGTATCAACACCTGTTAAAGACAAAACACATCAAGAAATGTTTCATAACGATACAGCTTGGCATTTGCAAGAGTTTATTAGGCGGGCAATGTGTACATATACTGTAATGCATTCTGTCGCTGAAGTCAGCAGTCCTGTACTAGACTAGAGTATAATGACATCTAATATTATGATTGAGGGAGTTTTTAATGAACGTTTAGCCACGGATCTATAATTGGGTCTGTGATTTAGCTTAGCAATTCCACAGAAATACAAGCATATCAATGGCCGGACAGAAACCTTGTCTCATGCTTATTAATACCAGAGCAATGGTTTGCTTGCGTGAACGATAATGGAAGAGCATATATTTGATCATATTTTTCTAACACTGAATTTCTAACACTGAATTTATGCATTTTAACAATACCCCTTATGAATTACCATCAGTGATCGAAATGGTAAAGATGATATACCCTTACGAAGTAATTCAAAAGTTGGGAATTGTCAGACAATATTAACGTTATGAATAGCCTCAAAGCTTCGTTATTCAGTTATGAGACAGGCGTATACGTTTATCCAATCAACGGAATCTCGCCTACTTCAGGCACATTCAAAATGATTACTGTTAAAATGCCTCTGGACTACGCGATCGCCATATCTGCATCTGCGATGCATGTATCAGTACAAATCTTTCCATCTGTACATTAAATAACCCGGGGAAAAACATGTTATTCAAAAGCAGTGACTGTATCATTGGTAAATGTATTACAGATGCAGGGTCACATTGATATACTAGCGGAAAGAAATACTGTGCACCACACAAAATCACATTAAAATATATTGCCATGGATTTATCAGAAACATGCACGTTAATGACGTGTACAGTGACGTAGTCATGATTACACGTGATGAACCTGAAATTGTTCCTGGATTACATGCATAGACTGAGATAGGAATAACATATTCGTCAGTAAACCACTGAAGTGTTTTAACTGTGAAAAACAGCTTTGCTCACGGCCAAGCCTCTTATACCACGCCTATCTAAAAATGAACGGTTGCTTGCAATTAGAATGCTTGAAACTCGAAGTGAACAAAACGTTGTTGTCAGCCGTTTGTGGGTTCGCTGTAACACCACATAGTCACTCTAGGGCCGGTATCAACAGACTGGCAAAACCAGGAACCGACCACGTTCTGGACGGCCAAGAGTAACGTCAAGTCGGCAAGATAACCATATCCGTCTTGTTCACCTGCGAAGTAGGAATCAGGCTGAAACTTCACAGCCCGCAGCATCCCCAGCTAACGTCCGATTACCACAAGGATTGTGACGAAATCGATTACCAGAGCACAACATCCGACTATGACGTCCGGTTGTACGTCCAGTATTGGTGCCACGTTATCGAACTGAACGCCTGGCAAGGTTAAGACAACATCTGAGGTTCAGATTACAGAACTGGATGTTAGTCCTCTTCACAGATATGTCCAGGTTTCATCTTGTGTTTATCGACGTCAGGAAGGACGATACGCTAACGCGTGTGTTCAACGTTCTGAATTCGGTGGAGGGAAAGTCATGGTGTGGGGAGGCATCACTGCACATCACAGAATCATCCGTGTAGTCATCGATGGTATTTTGGCAGGTGTGTGGCACCGTGACGATGTTATGCGTCCTAACGTTCCTTGAGACCCATGAACGTCACGTCACTTTAATTCAGGACAACGCACGCCCTCACATCGTACGTGTGGTCGTAGACTTTATTGGACAACAGAACATAGGTACTCCCATGGATTGCTGTTTCTACAAATCTGTCGCCAATCCAATGGGTTTAAATGAATGGGGGGAAATGGAACGTAGTTTCTGCCGACTTCCAAACCAACCGGTGACGTTGATCCAGCTGCAAAAGGCCTTGGTCCTGATGACATCCACAAGCCTTCCTCACAAATACTGTGTCGTCAATGAGGCGCTGGCAGGCTTGCGTCTCTTCTACTGGCATGGTGGTCTTACCCGATACTGACTTGTGAACTAACAATTGACATGACGTTTACAGAGGACATGTGTTGACACTGTCATGATGAATTCATGTTTAACTGACATTAGTACATTTTGTATGTTGTTCTGTTGCAAACTCATTTTTTTGGCGTTTATTTATTATTTCTTATGTAGTCAGTGATGCACTCGGATTTTTTCCCGCTAGTATATAATCTGAAGTCGAAATTGTATACTTTACGCTTGTCAATGACCACAATATGTTGATTTTGTAACTGACCATGACGTTCCAATAGGCATAGAATACCTGCCTCAGACAGGTTGTGATGATCTTGAAATACACGCTGCTTTTAAAAAAAAAAAATGATTTTGTTATTAGAGGAATAAGGTCACTTATGTTTGGTTTTGAGGAACTGTTGAAATAAGGCACTTGTTTTCGGTTTGTATATGTATCGGATGGTTTAAATTAACATAGTAATGTGAATGTTACTGTGATAATATTAGTCGAGCGTCTTCTGCACAGTAGCTAGGTACAATTGTAGGTAGGTTTACTATGTGATTGTTTTAATGTATAATGTCCAGTGCATTTCCTCTAACAAGGTGTTATGTAATTGCTATTATACGAATTATCAAATTTGTGAACACTTTACTTTAGAACTACATATATTCTAACTTACACACTAAGCATCATAACAGCATGAATCAGGAATTACAAAACAACATGACAAAGAGGAACAATTTTTGGAAAAACAATCAACTCCTCAATATATCAACAATAATTACACTAGTGTACTAGTCAACTGACTAAAATCCCTTTGGTATTCTGGGTACGAACACCCCAGCAACCGATGTTTATTGTAGAAGAGGACACTAATTATGATTTGATCGGGTGGTCAGGTTCATCTCAGGATTGGCTGGTCCATATTCGATCATTTAAAGACCGCCTTAATATATAGCTGGAATATGCTGAGTGCGACATTGAACAAAAAAAGACAAAAAAAGTAACGGACTAGATGATACTTACAGGACGTCGCGATGTACATGTTGAAAGAACGCTCTTCACTCACTAACTGAACTGTCATGATGTTTCTTATGAAAGGGGTACTGATCTACAGCAATTCCCCGGGACTGAGTGTTGCCTTTGTTGTTGTTGCTGTTGTTTTTCTGTGAGCACCCGGATGATATCCTAGAAATCTCGACTAGTTCGCGACCTGTGCTGCGCGAACAAAAAGCGCATTTGTCCTTTTATTGATAGTGCAATGGCGTATCGTTACATTGATCAACAAAATGAAATACAGTTTCGACTTGGAAATGATAAGTAAATGTAGGTATCTTTGGGGGTTGCATTGGTAATGGTGAAGAAATTTTGATAAGTCATTGCTTGATCATGATATTGTGTGATTTTCGTTTACAACATTTTGGCTTGTAACACAACTGAAACTAAAGATTTCACTTGAGCATTGCTTATTTTATCGTGTGTATATGTTATAGTCAATGATTAAAATGACTAATATTTTCACAGAGACAATTTATTAAACACCTAAATATTCACAGTTTTCTACAAATTGTCCATTGAAAAATTAAATATCTGTCCATTTATTTTATTATGATAATAGAATCCAAACCTGTTTAATTTCATCACCCAGTGACTGAAAAAATATATGATTGCGATAAGAAAACGAAAGTCAAAGAACATTTCTGTATTGTTTGGCTTCTGATCCTAGCGGGGGCACTGGTGGCCCAGTCGTCTTAGGCGCCGCAATTCGCTGTGCAGAGTTGCGCCCCATGGGCACGCCAGAAACCTATGATTGTGGGTTCGAATCCCGGTTCGCCTCCATTATGTTTATAGGTTTGTCAGCACCACACCCGTGCTCGTGGGTTTCACCGAAGTGGTAAACGTCTCAGACCTGCATCACTTCTGGCTTTCCTCACACATTAAGTTGACACGCTGCGATATGACTGGAATACTGTTAAAAGCGGCTTTAAACCAAACTCACTCACTCACTCACTCTCATCCTGGCATAGTTAGACTTTTGTTTAAGATTGTTTTAATCTATAATGTCCAGTGCATTTCCTCCAACAAGGTGTCATGTAATTGCTATCATACGAATTATCGAATTTGTGAACACTTTACTTCAGAGCTACATATATTCTAACTTACACCCTAAGCATCATAACAGCATGAATCAGGAATTACAAAACAACATGACAAAGAGGAACAATTTTGGGAAAAACAATCCACTCGTCAATATATCAACAATAATATGTTTAAGCCTTTCTGAAGGTCTGAATAATTGCTAAATGAATGGACAGGTTTTTCAGTAGTTATGTAACACCTCTTGGAGATGTAAATGAATATGTCACGTGGTTCAACCTATCCAATTACTATTTATTTGGACCACGGCGTAGCGATTGGTGTCGTATACTTACCACCAAAAAGATCTAAATACGCATCAGATGAAATGTTTCCAGAACTAGAATAATTAATATTTGAAATGTTGAGTAATTCTGAAATGATATATTTCATGAGCGACTTCACCGCTAGGACAAGCAAACTGAGAGAGTTCTGTATCTTTTATAAACAGAGTTAGACTAGGATAACGAAAAGAAAATACGTCATTTAGTAAGCGCATTAGATGAGTTAAAAGTGCCACACATATGTATACAAGACACAGAAAGAATAATTATAAATTATTATGGTTACAAGTTGCTGGATATAAGCAAAAACCTCAGTATGTTCATTTGCAACGGGCGTATTGGCAATGATAGCTTTCTTGATAAACCAACATACTCTCAAAGAAAATGAAACGCACAGGTAGCTTTGAGGAAATTTAATGTACCTAATAAAGTCGATATATCTAATTCAATATCATAGATACAAATATGACATTTTTAGTTCGATAGTCACATGTTGTCTTTGTACATAGGCATTGAAAACTGTCCATTATCACGTCACATAAGGCCACAAGGTGGCGCTGAACTCAGTATCTAGATCTCGTGTGACCGACCAGCAATCACGGCCCTGCTTCTTCTCGGCACCGACTGGATAAGTGTACAAATTCTGTCCTGCGGAATTCTGCGCAATTCCTCTTGTAACGCATTGGTCAGTTGTGGGAGTGTCTATGGCGTATTCTGACGCTGACGTACACGTCGATCGAGTTCAACCCAGGGGTGTTCAATTGATCTGAAGATCTCGACGGCCAGGGCAAGTCGTTGATAATGGCATTATGAAGATAGCCTACCGTGACATCAACTGTATGCGGGGGAGCGTTGTCCTGTTGAAACAGCTCCCTCTGGCGGTCAATGATTGGAAGAAGGTGAGGTTGAAGAATTTGATTCGTGTAGCGATTTGTTGTCAAATTTCCTTGAACCACAACCAAGTCAGATCTCGCGGTTTAGGATATGGCCCCCCACACCATGACACTACCACAACCGAAATTGTCGAATTTACGTACACAATGTTGGGCAAAACGTTCATTTCGACGACGATAAACACGTTGTCTTCCATCTCAATAATAACGACATCCGATGAGCTTCGACCGTTCTTTTTGTCTGTTTGTATAGGTTTAATAAATTAATTAACATAAGCCCTTTGTAATATGTAACTCTTCATAGATCACGGGTAACCGATCAGTGTTCAGAAATGCGTATAGATATTGTCTCAAAGACTTACGGTGTCGCTTCTGATAGTAGCCGAGTCTCTTGTCACGCTCAGTCAGGTAGCGTCAGTGAGCAAGTCGACTCACTGCAGTGAGTGGGCCTCATCGGGCAGTGTCAGACAGCGGGCAGTGTCAGACAGCCGGCAGCGAGAGATTAGTGCCCATTTAACTTCCATTTAAGATTCCGAATGAGTTACAATCGTTCAAATAAACAATGTAAGAATTTTATAAAGTTTTAACATATTTAGGCGTATTTTGCATGCTAAACTAATCTATCCAAAATCTAAGAAACGCCACCGTTTCAATAACTCTTAATAAAAAATAATTGATTATTTGCGAATAGTGAATATAATCAGCAAGATAAATGAGAATCAGTTAAAACAGATACTAACCAAAAGAGTCATTAGCGTTGATTATGCCCTCAAACATGGGATGCAGTAGTAGTTTTAACAGGTTCCTGAAACAAAAAATAAACACGCAAATACAGAAGAATAACCAGACTCGAATAACCAGTTTTGTCGCGACCAAAACATACAGTATATTTTTTAACATTGATACTTGTTACTGAGCTTGTCACTTGTGGAGTGACTTCGACTGCTTACTACCTGTATCTGTGTATACTATACGTTGTATATTGTAAGTTTGAACGACCCCCTTGAGGTGTTTATAGCCCAAACTTCGACCAAGCTCTTCACATCTTGATCACCTTCTCCTCGACCTAGTTTTGGAACTGACTTCCGCAGTTGGTGTTTCTAGAAGGCTGTCATTGCCTTAAGAAGGGCGAGACGATGGCATAACTGCCTGCTTTAAACACTGTTCCCTGGATTACAGGACAGATCAAGTGCTTCACTCAAGACATTCGACTGTGACACATTCTGGACATTCGTGATTGAACTGACTTGTCTATAGGCCTATTATTTATTGCTCTTCCACATTGGATTGCCTTTATGATTGTAGTTGTTGATAGTCCATTGATCTTGTGTATTTATTTTCTGATTTCACCATTTATTACGTGCATATGTTGGGGTTAAAGCAGGAAATACGAAAAAGCGACATTTTTGGACGCAGCTTTACCATCGGTTTTTCGCCCGGACTGGTTTGTTATTTGACATTGGAATTTACTGCGAGAGAACAATGATATCAAGCTCCACCCTTTTCCTAACTGACATTGTTAATCGAGCAACCGTGTTTATCGGTATTTCTATTTCTCAGATTTCATTGGTCAGTCCACGCATGTTAGGTCACAGGCCTGAGTTTGATGCGGTGCCCGAGCCTCGCAGTGGAAGTGATGAATTCTACCGTTCTATCCGAATTCGCAGATTACAGTGGGTACTTGATCTAACATTAAATAACGACACGATAATAGTGAGATTTTTAATCAAAATAATTAGGAAAGGGCAAGGCTCAGGGACGACTAAAGTATAGAAAATCGCTATAACTCTGCAGTCACATGGCCAACAAATACGCAAACTAATAGTGAACTAAAACGGAATATTTCACAAGTCATCTTGTGGACGATGACCGATTGGTATATATTGCCAGAGAACATATCCAGATATCAGCAACACCCACACATAAAATTATTAGCAAGCACAATTGCAAACATGTGATGGATCGTAAAAACTGTATGTGATATTTTCGAAAATATACATTTTCCACAGATATATTTAGATTACCCACCGGTAGAACGTCGCTGATGGAAATATCATTTATTTGAATGTTAATACCAAAGACAAGCAGCTTCTATGCGTGTGAGCTGCTAAGCGGCATACGTGGTAAAGATACGATTCAGATAGTGAATGTTCAACGGCACTTCGCCAGAGTCATCCAAGTTCTCGACCAAAAATCATCTACAGATTCAACCAAAGCAAATCTTGGGATGTGGACGCTGACAGGATACATATACAAATGCAGACTACTACTCCTCGGAAGACTATGTACAAACTCATGCTTCTCTCCTATGAGACATATTATATGTGCACACTAAGCCTCAGTCAATGCTTATAATATCAAAACTAGCACTAGCATATGAGACACAATGATATTAATTGCTATATATATTCTTCATTTACTATGTACACAAGTGAAGACTATTCCGATACAACAGATCAAATTGGATTTTGTAAATCTTCGGATGTTATTTCTGGAGGAAATAAAGAAATTCATTCATTGATTCATTATATTTCTTATATTTTCAATTTCAATCCTTACGAACCAACCGAATACGGTTGTCTTGGTGATTTGACGTGACGACCGGTCCTTGGCAAGCCCTGAATGTTGCTTGGCTCTAGATAACGTCTCCAGAGAGATAATATTCTGTTTCGATGAACATTAACATACCCGGCAACCTCTTTTTGTGTCCTTTCTGTCTGCATCATACTCACGGCGTGTACATGTTGATATTCAGTAAGCCGTGGCATTTGCGTAAGCGGTATTTATGGTTATAAAAGTGTTTTTTATCAGATAGCTTGTGGGCTGCTCACTTTAAAAAACACACGTGTGTATCATGCTCCTGGAAGTACGCAAACATCACTGTGGATCACGACCTGAAAGCCGAGGATAAGTCTTAATGAATATGTATTGCAAGACACCCGATCCTCATTTAAGCCCCCTTGTTGATATTCCTAGCGACGAAAAGGCCATTTGTACATGTATCTGGAATTTTCGTTATATACATCCATGCGAAGCATTTCGCTATCTTAAGTCAGTCATTGTTGATATGCCTTCCCGACTCCGATTAACGTTGGTTACAGTCAATGTGTAAAACCATTTAATGTGTAAAAAGATTAAAATTTTCCCTTTGGCAATTCACAAAACGGCTGAATATTTCAGTTATTTTAGAAATTGACAAACAAATCTGTTCGAAACTCGTCATTGAGTGGTGTCATCCAGGTGTCTGATTCTTACAGGGACGGAATGCTGCGTATTTCGTACAGTGCTCAATACTGTAAATCATCACAGTGTTGAAGGCTCACTGTTCAAACTACATCACGAACGTATATCAACGTGGTCACAACGTCACGTTCATAACTACGGCCCTCCTCCAAGCGTCATGTCACGATTGTGAGTTCTAAATATATTTTGAAAACAATGGCGCCCAGACAAGGTGTGCGTGACAAGTGCATTGATCCTAAAGGGGCTAGCTGAAGATAACAGCCATTCTCTCCTAGCAGTATCACCCGCAGTGAGTAAGGGTCAAGTTAACTCAATTGCTGACGATAGTTTCAATGTCCTGGGGCGTGCATTATATGTGTAACATCATTAGTAAACAGGGTGACAGAAAGTAGGTCATGGCAGAGTGGAGCTGTTGGCATATTATAGACACCCACGAAGCAACATTAGGACATGTCCTTGGCGCGCTGTAGGCATATGTGAAGCCAACTTGCAGTTCAAGAAAGTATAGATGGTCATTCGATATGTACTTCCCATGAAGAATACTTTCTAGAAATGCCACGTTGATATGTAGAAGTCATCACGCGAGTGTCTTCTTTTTTTAGCTGAATGAGGAACAGACAATGTATGTGGGGAATTTCATCTGTCATGTTATGTCATTCTTAATCGCAATCATTGATGTATTCCCCAAAACGGAACATAAAATTTTTACGTCAAAGCTAGTGATTATTCAATGGGACGGGGTAAACAAGCAATATAGTTCCAACTGAAACTTGTTTTCTATACATTCATTTTCGGTACCTCATGATAAAAAAAACATGGCATGACGTAACTCGATCGCTGACAGACAAGGGCGACGTCATGTTTGTTGGTAATCAGTGTAAGTGGTACGTAGTGTTTCGAGGTCCAGATTGAGGGACCGCCCCTTGTATTCTTATTGCTTATGTACCGTAAGTGTTAACTTTCCCTAGGGTTTTCAGCTACCTCTTAGACGGTAACTGATGAATAACCACCTTGGCCTTTCCTCTGAGAGAACATTCTCGAACTTGTTCTTACGCCCGCCGTCGGTGCGACGCCGCAGGTTCAAAGCCAGGACCTGGTGTCCAGACAGAAGCTGGTTATGTAACAGAGGGTTTAACCTAGTTTGACTTGCTTTTTTGCAACTTTTACTTGTGTAGACTTAACACCCTCTGTGAATTTAGATCGGGTCAGTTGCATGTCAATACTGACTAGTTTTTATCGGTGATGCTAACTTGTGTATATTTGCCTGTAAAACGTATCTCACATTGAGTGTGTTTAACTTGTAACTGTTTACTTAAAACCTTAATTCTTTTGCTTGGTGTATTGCTCAGTGTTAACATATCCTTTAAATCCAGGTTGGTTTATCTTTGTCAATGCGGCTTAATGAATTCGGTCTCTCTGTACATTATTTTTTCCACTCTCACGTGGACAATAACGAGTCGGTTCCTCTGTTGGTGAGGCGTTCCTCTAGCGTAATCGCTAGTTAAACACTGTGACACGTATCTATCTTATCTGTTTTTCTTTGTCAATATATGTTAAACCGTAAATGACCCCCAAGGGATATCGTTTTTACACTTTGACCTAAACATCTAGTCTCTGAAATGAACATATCTTACAGAAAAAGGTTATTAAATTATCCTAATAAACATCTCTTCATTACTGCAGTGCTCTAGTCGACTTGCCCACTATTATAGACTTGCATGGATATATTTGTTTCATTGTCTGTATGACAGATAAACCATGACCTTGACCATATCCTACCCTACGCATTACATGATAAAGCAACGTAAATGCGGTCACTACCGCCAAGGTTGGAGCAGTATAACAAGAAAAGCAAATGAAAGAAGCGAGAGTAAACTAAGATAACACAGAGTAATCGTGATGTTTAGCATCGGATCTTTGGACAGGTCCCACTTCCTTACATGTGACCTTTGTCATTTGCTTCGTTGCATCTCTTTCTCTTTGTCAACCAAGGGTTCATGGTTATTGCAACTAACTGATTATCTTATGTATAACCAGCACAGTCAGTATTGTCATAGTGCAATGACATTGGTCATTTTCGCTTCAATATTTATATAAAAGTTAAGGGTGGTAATAGTCTTTATTGCGTTAAATGTAGGTAGACGTAAATTGCTGTATTCAGTCAGTCACACATGTTGAAGATCGCAGTAATCTAGAAACTTATACCCTTGGAGCATGGTCAGTATTAACTTGCTTTACCTGGCTCAGACTGTTACAATAACCGTTTGGCACACGTTTGCTGATGCGCCGAACTTATATTATTCAGTAGTTTCGGACTAATAATCAATTATTATTTAACTTCTGTGGATATCACTTGGTCATAATTCTTAAGAAAGTAGTTTAATCATTCTTCTCGGCACACGAATGCAAATTATCTTATTAAGCGGATAATTGTACACTCGGTCTAGCAGTAAATGCGTATACTAACTATTCAAGGTGTCTGGAGATTATAATACTAGCTAATCCTGGGGGTACTTCACTGTTAAGAAAACCCCAGTGGAGGAAATGACCACAGACACTTTG